TCATGTAGTTCAGAGCAAACCTCTTCAGCAGCAACGTCAGAACCTCCGGAGGTCGTAGCAGGACACTCGACTGACACAGAGAACCAGGACTTTAATCTCTTGTTAAAAAGTTAAAAAGGTTTCAATTGGAAAGTTGAAAACTTGAAATGTTTTTTTTAAACATTCAATTTATTTAAATTATTCCCTGCTGTAGAATTTAAAAAGATGCTCCTTGTCTTCATTGGGGCTAGGCTAGGCTAAGCTAATCTGGCTAACGTCTTCATCTCCTTCAATTATTTTCCATCAGAAATTATTTCCATCTAATTTCTGGTTCACTTGCAACAGTAAAACAAGCATATACAGCACATTTAGTGCTAAAAATGCTAATGCTAATTAACAAACACCAGATTCTTAATGTTACAAAAACAAAAATGATTAGCATTTTTTTCAGTCTTCGTGCGAGTCGGTCAGGAAATATTTATATACTACTGTGTACTTAACTTGCATTTCACTCACAATAGTTGAATCGGATTTGGAGCCACATCCATCACAGTACATCTGGTTTGCTCCAGTTAAATATTCTTTACTGAAGTACACTTCAATCCCAGCCTCCTAATTAATGACAAACGATTAAAGGGTTGCAATTACTCAGGTGAAAAGTGAAACATTTGTTAGACCAAAAACAAAACCCTGAACGCCACGATCGGACCTCAGGCCAGTGTTTTAGAAACGGTCCAGTTCTCAGATACTCACTACACTTTTGGGTTGATAATCCACCAGCGCTAGAGGAAGAAGCCAAAACGCTCCGTCTGTGTCCATCGTTGTGGAACACTGAAAGCATGCAATACTTTCTCTCAACAATCCATGGAAAATCTGAAAACACAGGAATAAATACATTTTGTGGAAAAGCGAAATGGTTGTCAAATACTATATATGGACGTGAAGAAAGTGCACCTGAAATTAGATCAATCTAAAGTTACAGTAGAACACAGTCAAATGTGAGGCTGTTAGCAAAGAATTGAGCTCATATGTCAAGAGAGGAATGGCCTGAAGTTAGCCAAGCTAGGCAACGGAGGCTAAAGCTACACAGAAAGATAAATGATAGTGGGGCAGAACGCTGGTAATCTGTTGGTAATAGTCTTTACCTGTGATGCAGGACGACTGGTCAGCTGTAGAATCCTCTCGTAGTACTCTGCAGCGTCCCGCTGTTCATAAACTGAAAAATAATACAACTTAATATAGCATAAATATAACTTAAATATATACGATATACATTCTATTATTATATATTATGCAATTATATTATATTACATTATGTTATATAACTCCTAAGATAATGTATGAGTTACAGTACGATAACCAACATAATGTTGTGACATAATTTGAAGTAACACGATGTCACATGACATAAAGCACCTTAAACTAACCCAATGTAATGTAGCAGGATACACCACAGCGTGACGTGCTGTCACTGACATACAGCTGAGGTGAGAAATATACAGTAATAACATAATGTACCCTCATGTAATGTACTGTACGCTCATTCATACCAATCAACATACCGTTGTTTATGGACAGTTTCGTGGTGATTTTATAGGTGTAACCTTGAGACTTCTGCAGGTCTTCAAACAGGTCGTTGAGCTGATGATCGATGAAGTCACTGTCCGGGTTTTCTCTGGAGAACCTTCACATTCAGAGATCATTTAGACATTACAAAAGGACTGGGGTGAACATCTGAGAATTTTTTTCATCAATCTTTTAAAGTTCAGTGTCAGAATTCAGATGTTTTCTTCAGTGTCTCTGATCTAGACATCATCCAAAAAAATCTTTTTTTAACAATTCTGTGAAAAGTTACAATTAAATGTTTACTTTCCCATCATTTGATTCCTAGTTGCTTAAAATCCTAGAATTCTCTTTTTGTTCCTTTTTTTTTGTGAATAACACCAAGATCAATGTTGGAATTTGCTCAATATTGTGAGTCGTCTTTTCAAAATAAAAGCCTTTTTTTCTCAGAGTTTTGTCTAATATCAGGATCTGGACTTTTGTCCAATCAGAGCTCTGACTCAGTCCCACTCAGGGTGTGTGGCAGTGTGTGACACCAACCTTTGTACAGCCTCTCTGAACTCTGGGCTCATGAACAACACCTGCAGGACACTGTTCAGGTAGCAGGTGGCTCCCTGGTTGTGCAGACCCCAGTACTGTGGAGGAGGAGGAGGAGCAGCAGCAGCAGCAGCAGCAGCAGCTGTGGACAGAAGGTTTTGGTTAGAAACTGCAGGGTGGTATCACACACCGTGTCCACTCTCACCTTCTGAGCTCTCCATGTTCACAGTCGCTGTGTTCTTCCTGAATCAGCTGCTCAGGGGTGAATGTTGAAATAATAAGTTCAGCTTGGAACTGTTATATAATAGACAATACTTT